TTGAAGATATGAAGAAAATGACGTTTGTCACTAATGGGGGCACCTGCATTGTATGGAAGATTAGCCCGTTGGCAAATCCTGTTGCCTGAATTTGATATCCAGTTTGTAAACCAGAAAACGGTTAAAGGGAGTGCCATAGCAGAATTCATTGTAAGTAGGGCTTCCGAACAATATGAACCATTGAATTTTGATTTCCCAGATGATGATTTAATGGCTATCTCGATGGAAGAAACAATTGCATCCACTAGGAAATACTGGAAGATGAACTTTGATGGCGCTTCAAATGTCTTGGGGCATGAAATTGGGGCAATCTTGGTCTCACCAGATGAAGAGCATTATCATTTTACCAGTCGGCTCAATTTTGATTGTACAAACAATATGGCCGAGTAGGAAGCTTGTGTCATGGGTCTTAGAGCTGCTATTGAACTCAAGGTGAAAATGCCCAAGGTATATGGCGATTCAGCTCTCGTAATCTACCAACTCATAAGAGAATGGGAAACAAAAGATCCCAAACTGGTGGAATATCGTAAATTAGTCTTGGAACTTATTGAATAATTTGAAGAAGTGACTTTCAATTACCTCCCCAGATAAGAAAATCAAGTGGCAGATGCATTGGCTCCTCTGGCAGCAGCCTTTAAGATGAACGAGCATGCAAATATGATGCCTATTGAGATAAAAGCTTATGAGTGTTCACCCCACTGCTTTAGTATTGAAGAAGAAGAAGAAGAAGAAGAAGAAGATAGAAGGCCTTGGTACTAGGGTATCTTGCAATATATAAGGTATCAAAGTTATCCCGAGTAGGCGGCCAAGAATGACAGCGGGATATGTGCCCAATGAGGAGACCCTATACGAGAAAAACTTGAATCAAGTCCTATTAAAGTGTGTGGACATTGAAGATGCCAAGACCGTTCTTGAAGTACATGAAGGAGTATATGGCACCCATGCTAATGGAATTACGGAGATAGAATGCACACCCCTCCTCATTAGTTGCATGTGATGACAGCCCCGTGGCCGTTTTCTATGTGGGGGCATGGATGTTATTTTGCCGAAAGCGTCAAATGATCATCGCTTTATTCTGGTAGCAATTGATTACATCACCAAGTGGGTAGACGCAGCTTCCTATGGGAGTGTTACCCAGTCAACGGTATGTAAGTTCTTGAAGAAGAAAATCATCTGTGGATATGGCTTACCGGAGAGGATTACTTCTGACAATGCATAGAATTTAAACGTCAAGATGATGAAGTCTGTCTATGAGCAATTCAAAAGAGAGCATCATAATTCCCCTACTTATCGCCCGGAGATGATTGAGGCAGTAGAGATAGCTAATGAGAACATTAAGAGGCTTATTGAGAAGATGACTGAAACTTATAAAGATTGGCACGAGAAGTTGTCATTTGCTCTGTTTGTCTATCGGACTTCTGTGCAGACGTTAACTGGGCAACTGTTTTCTTTGGTTTATGGGATGAAAATTGTCCTACCTATTGAGGTGAATTTCCTTCACTTCGGATCTTGTCAGAGGTGAAGCTAAAGGAGGCAGAATGGGTACAGGCCAGATATGACCAACTGAATTTAATTGAAGAAAATAGATTGAAAGCTATTTGTCATGGTCAGATATACCAGAAGCAGATGATACGAGCACATGGTAAGAAAGTTCTCCCTCGAGAAGTCCATGAAGGGGATCTGATGCTCAGGAGGATATTGCTCGTTCCAAAAGATTTCCGAGGGAATTGAATGCCCAAGTGGGAAATATCCTATGTTGTCAAGAAAGCCTTTTTTGGGGAGCTCTAGTCTTGATTGAGATGGATGAGTCCGAATTACCTTATCCAGTGAAATCCGACGCAACTAAGAGGGGTTTTGCTTAAAGATAAAAAAAATGAAAAATGAAAAAATGAAATAGAAAAATAGAAAAAATGGAAAAAATAAAGAAAAAAAGAAAAAAAAAAAAAAAAAAAAATAAAAGGGGGTTCAAGATGCAAACTCGAAAAGGGCATTTTGAAACCAAATGAGATCAAGTTGAAAACCCGCAGAGGGCGGCTTGAGTTAAAATTCAGAATTCGTGCATGGTGGAGGTTCTGAATTATTTTTGGAAGTGGAAAGAGCTCATGACATGAGTAGTGACAATGATAGTTGGTGATCAGGATTGAGACTAAAGATTAACGAGTCTCTATGAAAGCAACCATATGAGAAATTGAATGCACATGAGATTCAATACTGGTTTACGGCATCCAATAATGGGAGATTTTAGGGTTCAGAAGTAGCTTTGCACTCTTAGGTGTCATCACAATTTTGGAATTCCTTTTGACAGAAGCTATGCTCGGGTCATTCTAACGGCGTGCCAGTTCAAAAGCATTTGTGTTATTGATATTTGAATATGCCTATCCTTTTGTTCTTTTTCCAGTTAAAAGTTTTCCATATAGTTGCTAAAAATTCTTTGCATTTATAAATAAAGAGATATTTTTCCTTTCCAATTCCCCTTTTACAAGCATTTGATTTTGAAAAAGTTAAAACATATAGCTTAGCTTGTGGTACATTAGATCATTTTGTATTGTTATGCAAAAGATGTTGAAAAGGAAGGTATTCTGAAGCTAACGTTGGTTTTAGAATGTATGTTTGTATGGCTGCGGGAAGCAGAAATCATGGGATTCATATAAAATTCCAACCATTAATATATGACCCAAAGAGATTGTCATTCATCAGGATGGTCATGGGTACTGGCGGGTTTCAAGAAAGAAAGAAGTCAAAGTCCCGTCAAGCCGAGAGATATGACATTGAGATTGTTAACTGGGGTGAACTGGTCAAATGTCGGTGCCCAAGACGAAATCGAGGTTCATCAGAATCAAAGAAGATGATGTTCCTTCGAAGAAAAAATGTGTTGAATTGCGTAATCGCATACATTTTAGGCATGAATAGGATCATGACATTGCATGGTGACTTAAATGTCTACAAGTTTCCCAATGATAGTGGAAGATTGAATATATTGAAGCATCAAGATGATGATGACTAGTTTTGAACTCCTAAAAAGAATGGTGACAACAATTGAGCCAGAATAGATCCATGTATCTAAGGGCTTTTTGACGAGTTTTCGCGATGAAGATGAATTTTCAGAAATTTTCTCGAACTCAGAATGTTCGAGTATAATATTTTCAAACATACATTAATGATTGATAATGTTTGATTTTCAGGTTCGACCTTTGAAACAAACCAAACTAAAGCCTTCACAAAAAGTAGTGAAGCAAAAGAAGATTGTTCGAGTCTTATACTCTCTGAATAAATAGGGGGCAGACGCGATCGTTGAAGATTATTCGAGTCTTATACTCTCTGAAGAAATAGGGGGCAGACGCGATTGATGAAGATTGTGGATCTTATACTCTCTGAAGAAATAGGGGGGCAGACGCGATCGTTGAAGATTATTCGAGTCTTATACTCTCTGAAGAAATAGGGGGCAGCCGCGATTGATGAAGATTGTGGATCTTATACTCTCTGAAGAAATAGGGGGCAGACGCAATCGTTGAAGATTGTTCGAGTCTTATACTCTCTGAATAAATAGGGGGCAGACGCGATTGTTGAAGATTGTTCGAGTCTTATACTCTCTGAAGAAATAGGGGGCAGACGTGATCGTTGGAGATTATTGTTCGAGTTCTAGTCCCTGAAGAAAATTGGGCAGACCCGTAGGAAGATTATTGTTCGAGTTCTAGTCCCTGAAGAAAATTGGGCATTCTCGTAGGAAGATTATTGTTCGAGTTCTAGTCCCTGAAGAAAATTGGGCAGACCCGTAGGAAGATTATTGTTCGAGTTCTAGTCCTTGAAGAAAATTGGGCAGACCCGTAAGAAGATTATTTTTCGAGTTCTAGTCCCTGAAGAAAATTGGGCAGACCCGTAGGAAGATTATTGTTCGAGTTCTAGTCCCTGAAGAAAATTGGGCAGTCTCGTAGAAAGATTATTGTTCGAGTTCTATACTCCCTAAAGAGAGGGAGCAAACCCGTTTGAAGATTGTTTGAGTTCTATACTCCCTGAAGAAAGAGGGAGCGAACCCATTTTCAGAAGATTGTTCGAGTTCTATACTCCCTGAAGAAAAAGGGAGCGAACCCGTTTTCAGAAGATTGTTCGAGTTCTATACTCCCTGAAGAAAGAGGGAGCGAACCCATTTTCAGAAGATTGTTCGAGTTTTATACTCCTTGAAGAAAGAAGGAGCGAACCCGTTTGAAGATTTTCGAGTTCTATACTCCCTGAAGAAAGAGGGAGCGAACCCGTTTGAAGAAGATGTCCGAGTTCTATACTCCCTAGAGAAAGAGGGAGCGAACTCGTAAGAAGAAGATATTCGAGTTCCATACTCCCTAAAGAGAGAGAGCGAACCCGTTTGAAGATTGTTCGAGTTCTATACTTCCTAAAGAAAGAGGAAGCAAACCCGTTTGAAGAAGATGTCCGAGTTTTATACTCCCTAGAGAAAGAGGGAGCAAACCCGTTTGAAAAAGATATTCGAGTTCTATACTCTCTGAAGAAAGAGGGAGCGAACCCGTAAGAAGAAGATTGTTCGAGTCTCATACTCTCTGAAGGAATAGGGAGCAGAAATGATAGTTGAAGATTGTTCGAGTCTTATACTCTCTAAAGGAATAGGGAAAAGACATGATTGTTGAAGATTGTTCAAGTCTTATACTCTCTGAAGGAATAGGGAACAAACACGAGTGTTGAAGATGTTTGAGTTCTATACTCCTTGAAAGAAAGAGGGAACGAACCCATTGGCAGAAGACTGTTCGAGTTCCATACTTCAGGAGCGAACACGTTTTCAAAAGATTTCTCGAGTTCTATACTCCCTGAAGCAATAGGGAGCGAACCCGCTGGTCGAATTTTGATCAACAAAAGGGAGCAGATCCCTCATCAAGTTTCAAAGCATGAAGAAAGAACTGGACAAAAACGCACTGTCATTTTTATCTTTGCCCTATTCTTGTTAACACAAGAATGGGCAAAGAGGGGCAGCTGTAGACACCCATTTTTGTCCGGATTATAAATATTATATTATTATTATTATTATTATTATTATTATTATTATTAATGTTACATATTATTTTTTACAGGCTCGAGACCCAGATTACAAATTTCTTATAACTCAAGCTCAACCCAGTGACCATTACCCCAGTTACCGGTTTCCATCAATGCATGAGCCAATCACTGCCACCAATCATGCCATCCATTGAAGCTGATAAAAAATAAGCAAATCAATAAACAAATCAGTCACCAAGGTCAAAGAGATTTGACAAACCTTTACCTAAACCTTTGAAATGGAAATAAATCCCGAAAATTATGGGATTAAAGGTACCTGCTTCAGCACTAATCCAACCAAGAAGGAAAAAGATGGATGGGAAGCAACCATAAAAGAGAGGGGGAAAAAAAAAGAACACAGAGAGGGTGACGATTAAAAAGGGGAATTCCAAAAAACAAGGGTTGCTCGGTTTTTCTTTGAAGGAAATATGGGGAGTATCCACAAGAGCTGCTGTTCCCAATAGCCGAATCCGTCATCGTTGTAAACCAGGGGTTTTCCCATTTTTTAATATAATACAGATTTAAAACGGTATTTTCTTATTTCAGTTTTTTTTACTTTACAGTGTGCGTGTCCTTGTTTTGAAACGAATGTAAAAAAAAGGAGGGCAAATTTTTTACCTTTACATATAGTCTTTGTCGGTGAGAATAGGGAGCCTTGATAGTTTAGTCGATCGGTGAGGGAAACCCGAGAGAGAATCGACAGAGCCCATAGTACCCTTAGCAAGCATAATGAACTAGATATTAGAAATAAAAATAAAGCAATATAATCAATTTTCTTACTCATCCGATTCACACAAGAAATAAAATCAAAGAGAAGTCCATTTTTCATTTTTAAAGGCATTTTCCTAATATAGTTTCAAAACCAGAAAATGGGAATAGAAATTTAGGATTGTTTACCTTGGCTTTTGAAGATTGTTAGAGTATGTAGCAGCGTTGGTTCATAGCATTCTAAGGTAGTTGAGGTTTTGATCGAGTGTGAATACCAGTGAGTGAGGTTGAGAGCGGCGCTGTGCGTGGTTAAGAGAAAAATGGAGTGTGGAAAGAAAGGAGACAGCTGTGCACATGTTCTGCGTAAAGTTGGGATGCTTAAGTTTAGGTTATTTAGGTTTTATATATTTTTAGGGTAAATTATCGTTTAGTCACCGCACTTGGGTTTGTCTGTGTAGAGCTACACATTGTTTCACGTTTAATGCAATTCGATCATCAAATCAAGGCTTTTAAAATTTTAGATTGGTTCCCTTTAATTCTATACGCATTATTTTTTATCCTCAAAGCTAGTTTATTTAAATTTTGTGTATATTCTATAGGCAGTATATATGTTTTATGATATTTATGCTTTTAACTATGTGTTGTTGTTTGTTCGTACTTGGGTCTCTTAGTTATGGTGTTTTTAATTTAATCACATATTTATTACACCTTTTGAGTTTCAATTATTTTGTCTTTGAGGTCTGTAGTTTTCTTTTCTTATATTTAAGACCGTTGTAGTTATTCATGTATGTAACACGTACTGTGTGTAAGGGTGTTTTGATTCCTTCAAAATTTCTTCAAATATTACATAATAATATGTGTGTTTATCTTTTATTTATTTATAATTATATTATTTTTAAATGGTTGTTTATGTCATTTATTACCAAATTTTTTATTTTGATCCCAGTTCTAGTCAAGTTAAATTTTTGTTTATTTTTGCATTTAGTATGTAATTTTGATTAATTGGCATTTTAGTACCAGAACCCAGTTATTGTGAGTTTTCTTTTGTTTTTACATTTTCTATGTTCATTTTCAGACATATTTTAGTTTTATAGGCAGTCTCGGGTTTATTTTGATTTTAATATATGTAATGTATTGATTTGTTTTTTTATCTTTGTTTAATAGTGATTTTAGCTTTAGATTTATTTACTCATTTATTTTAATCTCATGTTTAATTAATTTTTACATGACATCATTTTTGCATAATTTGCATGATATCCTCATGTGCATATCTCGGCATTATTACATAATTTGATTAAGGGTAATATCCTTTTAATTTGAAATTGTTTTAAGTGGGTTGTCTTAACTGATTAGATATCCGCTTTTAACGATTTTAAATTAGAAGTGTATCCCATTAGTGACACCTAAAAATTGATTTATCACTTTAAAATTTGGGAACGGAAGATAAAGAAATGTTCGGCTATTTAAATTTATCGAGAAAATGTTGTTATAACTATTTAAGATCTGGTCTCGATATTTTTAAATAATCGAATATTCTTTATCTTTCTAAAGGTTAGGTAATTTTAATTTAATCTATTTTGGTGATTTTAAATATTTTAAAATACATTTGTTGTTATTTTGTTGAGGATCATAAACTAAATTAAACTCGAATTTGTAAATTTCATTGCAAAGACATTAATTAATCGATGAGGTACCGATTTAGGGCGTTGTGGGGGTGCTAATCCTTCCCCACGCGTAAACGACTCCCGAACTCATTTTCTGGTAACACAGACTTTAAATTGTTGTTTTAATTAAAATTAACTTTTATTTAAAATGACAAAACATTTTTGGGTGTCCAATCACACCCTAATCAAGGATTGGTGGCGACTCTTCGAACCTGTGTTTTTATCGTGAATGAATTCCCAAATTCTTGAAACGAGAGGTTTTCTAAAGTCACATTGTTTTTAATTAAAAATTGTAATCTTAAGAGAATAATTAAAAATTAATGCGGTTTTCAAAATCTCGCCCACGGCGTAAAAATCGTTTCGACAATAATAATATAAATAAAATAAAAGTAATAATGTAAATAAAATAAAAGTGCAATTAATATTGACTAAAATAAAATTATAGAATTGAATAAAATAATAATAAAACTTATAGTTAAAAATGAAAATTATTTAAATATTATAAATTAAAATATAAAATATTAAAATTAAAGGTATTAATTCGAAATAATATAAAATATAATTATTATTAGTATAATTTATCCATAATTAATTATAAGATATTAAAAAATAAAATTATATGAACTAAATTAAATATTTACCTTAAATATAAACATAAAACAGAGACAAAAACATAAATTAAATAAAATTAAAGATCCGAACTTAAATACTTAGAAAATTAATTTAGTGCATAATGTAGACACCCGTTTTGTCCGGGATACTATCATTATTATTATTATTATATTATTTTATTATTAATAATAATGTTAAAGTTGTTTATGTTATCATTTTGCGGCCAAGGTACGCCAAGCACAATTCAGGTCCCAAATTACAAACAGTGCACGACAGCCATGGAGATTGCCAATTTCGAACATGTTCTAAGCATCTTCGGTTTCTGAAGTCTTCGTAACAGTTATTCAATTATCTCTTAGCTTTCGAACATACTTTAAACCGCATCAATCCGATATTTGGAGCTCGAGATATGGTTAAATTAATGAAGACAGTGCAGGCTGGAAATTGTCCAGTGGGCAGATCACGACATTCAGATGTATCTCCAATTTTGAACATGTTCCAAACATATTTGGATGTTGAAGTCTTCTTAACAATTATTAAATTATCTCTTAGCTTTCCAACGCACTTTGAATCGCATCAATCCGATATCGGTAGCTCGAGATACGCTCAGATAGATAAAGACTGTGCAAGCTGAATACGGGATTTACGAATTTCAACAAAAAATTGTTTTTACTTTGCACAATATACACGTTGGGAACAGATTTTTTATGAACATGGAGACATATACACGTTGGAAAAACATGTTCCAGCTAGGAGACAAGCACTCACCAGCACATGTGGCCGCACAGTACCTCACTCCAGCCCACACCATGTTGTTTCTGCACTAGCAGTCTATTAATGGAGCACTAACTCTATTATACTGCCACCACTAATATTTGCTGGCCACCCATGTTTTGTTAAGTGTCTATATTCTGCACAAAGTCAATAATGCACCGAATCAAGGAAAAATTAATTAGTCACCAAAAATTGCATAAAAGTCAATACTTGCTCAACCAAATATCACCAAACACAGAGAAAATCAACATGCAGACAAAGTATTCGGTAAAGAAAGTATTGATAAAATAGAGAGGGGCTCGGTTTTTCAAAAAAAAAAAAAAAAAAGATTGAAAACACTGGAGGAGACCATAGACATACTGGGAGGCCAAAACGTGTGAGAGGGGAGAAAAAGAAAAAAAAATAGAAAACAACACTTCTTGTAATCTGTCGGATTCTCGCCGGAGATCGGGATCTCCAATCAACATTCCGAACGGTAAAAAGTTGCGGAAGGCCATCACGAACAACATATTGAAAATTCAAGACGATCGGACGGTGGACGGTGACGGATCGGAGAAAACATATCCGGACGGTTTTTAGCCTCTTGCTGGTGATCGGAATCTTCGATCAATATTCCGAACGGTGAAAAGTTGTGTGATGCCAACACGAACAACCTATTGAAAAATCAGGACGATCGGACGGTGGATGACGGCAGATCAAAGAAAATACATTCGGACGGTTATCTTTGTATCTTTCCTGATTTTGACACTTTAATTTCTGTTATTTTATTTTAACCTTTTATTTTCTGTTTTTACCATTTTAATCCTTAAGGTTCATGTTTTGCGCTTGGGTCATTCTCCATATGAGTCATTTTCATTTGCAGCTTAATACATTTTAGTCCTTAAATAGGTGTTTTTGTGTTTCTGATTTCGTCTCCATATTTTACGCGTATTCAATTTTAGTCCTGAGTGGTATTGTATTTTGCTTCTGTTCTTTATACATTGAACTGTTAATTTTCACATGTTTCATTTTAGTACCTAGGTCGAAGTTTGCAGGTTTCTAATTCTGTCTATTTATTTTATGGTTCATTTAATTTTCGTCCTAGTGTTGATTTGTTTATTTTCTGTTGTTTAGATATTTGACCTTCATATTTTTGCATGTTGCACTTTAGTCATGAGTGTGTTGGGATTTATTCTGTTTTTAGTCCCCTGCAATAGGAATAGTTTCATTTCTGTTCTTAGTATTTAATATGGTATAATACTAGCATTTCTACCTTAATTCGTATTTTATTTATAATTAGGTTATTAAAGTTTTATTTGATATCATTTAGTCCTCGTTTTAATAAATATTTATTTTCTGAAATTTATAATTTGTTGTATTATGTTTTCGTTTGTTTTGTTTAGGTCATATTTGTTCATTAAATATAACTATGTATATATATTTTTAGTTATAAAATGTGTATATAATTTTTATGGAAATGTCACATTGCATGATATTTTAAAATATTGGTTTAATTAATTTTTACATGACATCATTTTAGTATGATTTGCATGTTAGCCTCACGTGCATAAACTCAATGTATTTACATAATTTAATTAAAGGTAATATCTTTTTAATTTAAAATTATTTTAAGTGGGTTGTCTTAACTGATTAGATATCCGCTTTTGATGATTTTAAATTAAAAGTATATCCTATCAGTGACACCTAAGAAATTAATTTATCGCTTTTAAAATTTGGGAACGGAAGAAAAAGAAATATTCGGCTATTTAAATTTATCGAGAAAAATAGTTAGAACTTATCTAAGATCTGGTCTCGATACTTGTAAATAATCGAATATTCTTTATCTTTCTAAAGGTCTGGTAATTTTAATTTAATCTATTTTGGTGTTTTTGAATGTCGTAAAATTCGTTGTTGTTTTGTCGGGGATCATAAACCAAATTAAATTCGAATTTGTAAATTTCATTGCAAAGACATTAATTAATTGATGAGGTACCGATTTAGGGCGTTGTGGGGGTGCTAATCCTTCCCCACGCGTAACCGACTCCCGAACCCGGATTTTGGTAATGTAGACCGCAAATTTGTCGTTTTAATTAAAATTATTTTTTTATAAAATGACAATGTTTTTAGGTGCCCAATCACACCCTAATCAAAGATTGGTGGGGACTCCTCGAACCATATGTTTTTATTGTAAAGGAATTTCCAAATTTTCGAAACGAGAGATTTTCTAAAATCACATTGTTTTTAATTAAAAATCAAACATAAAGAGAATAATTAAAAATTGGTGTGGTTTCCAAAATCTCGCCCCACCCCGTTAAAAA